CATCCCCACCAATGGCACAGACAAGCATAACAATAACAAACGAAAAAATAAAATTAACAACCACAACACAAATAAGATGACTATTTCCGTGTGGCGGTGCACACCTTGAATCCCAGCACTTGGGAGGCAAAGGGAGGAGGGCCTCAAGGCCAGCCTAAAACCCTGTCTCAAAAAACCTGTTTTTTTATTGTAATGGAGTATCCTTGTTGTTGATTACTTATTTTTGGGTACTAATATACAGAAATGGAAATCATTGAGGCCTTGTGAAAAACTAATTTGAACTCACTATTTGTCTCATAAACCATACTTCTCATTTTATGATGGGAACAAATTTTAGAAGCTAGAGACATGATTTTTAGTGAATTATTTATATTTTAAGTTATTTTGTATTTATTAAATATTAGATAAAACTACTGATTACAAAAGAGTGGACTGAGGAGCTTTCACAAGGACTATCCTGGTTCTTCTTAGTCTTGTTGAGAGCAGCCTCAGTTTTTGAAATTAGCATAAGCTACTTCTGTAATCTGAGAGAGAGAGAGAGAGAGAGAGAGAGAGAGAGAGAGGGCGAGAGAAAAAGAGAGGAGAGACAGAGACTCAGAGATACCTGTTTTTAAAATGTCAGCTGGTGGTGGTGAGTGCTTTTAGTTCAGTGCTCAGGAAGCCTAGGTATGTGGATCTCTGTGAGTTCCAAGTCAGACATGTTTATATAGTGAGAATGTATCTTAAAAAAAAGAAAAAGGCCAGGGGCTCTGGATGTAACTCAATGATAGAGTATTTGACTATCATGTGTCTAGCAAAACAGATAGATATACAGACAGAGAAAGGGTGAGTCTAACCCTTGTTAATTTTTACAAACCATACCAGGGAATTCTGGTCTCAAAAAGTCCCTTTCAGATCATTGTGAACTGAGTAAAAAATAATCAAGAGGCAGAATAACTCAACCTTTTCAAGTCTTGTTAGAGAAAATTCTTGGAGCAGTCACAAGGACTAAACATAGAAGAAGTTAGATATTCTTTATTTGCCCAGAGAACATTTGCCAAAGAAAGTGGAAACATGGTCTCCTGGGAGATAGGTACTGAAGAAAATCATGCTAGCCTCGTGAAAACTGTCCATCAGCAGCTGCATGGCCAGGCAGAGGAGTCTGTTGGGGTTTTGTTGTTATTGTTTCTTTGTTTGTTTGGTTTTGTTTTTCATTAAATAAGTCATTTTAAGCCTGTAACAAAATATCTGAGATGAAGTAATTTATGGAGTATAGGTTTATTCAATTTACAGTTCTTAAGGCTTAAGAAGATGGTGCCCCTACTAAAATCTTACACCTAAAGAAACTAATCAGGAGGGAGGACTCTGGCTAAAATGCTTAATCCCTATCCAGAAAGGCAAAGAGAATGGACATCAGAAGAAGAAGAAAACAGGAAACAAGTCAGGAGCCTGACACAGAGGACCTCTGAAAGGCTCTGCCCTGCAGACTATCAAAGCAGATCCTGAGACTTATGGCCAACCTTTGGGCAGAGTGCAGGGAATCTTATGAAAGAAGTGGGAAACAGTAAGATCTGGAGAAGACAGGAGCTCCATAAGAGAGCAACAGAACCAAAATATCTGAGCACAGGGGTCTTTGCTGAGACTGATACTCTAACCAAGGACCATGCATGGAGATAACCTAGGACCCCTACACAGATGTAGCCCATGGCAGTTCAGTGTCCAAGTGGGTTTCATAGTAATAGGAACAGGGACTGTTTCTGACATGAACTGATTGGCCTGCTCTTTAATCACCTCTCTCTGAGGGGGGGCAGCCTTACCAGGGCACAGAAGAAGACAATACAGCCACTCCTGATGAGACCTAATTGACTAGGATCAGAAGGAAGGAAAAGAAGGCCTCCCCTATCAGTGGACTTGAGCAGGGGCATGCGTGCAGAGGGGGGAGGAATAATAATAATAATAATAATAATAATAATAAAAGGAATAATAATAATTCCTTTCTGGAATAAAGCCTAACTCAAACACATTTCAGAATATCTCCAATAGATTTTTTTCAAGAGTTAAAAAAAAAAATAGAAACAAAAAGAAGATTGTGCCATTCTATGGCATGCACCTGACCCCAACATAAATAAATAAATGCAATGTAATGAAGAACAGGGTGCCATATCTGCTCAGCAATGAAGAGGCCTATTTGCTGCATTGTGGTATGACAGCATGTATCAAATGATGAGAAAGCAGGGCTAGCTCATGTCTCTCTTTCCCTACAGAAGCCACTAATGTCCTAGTCACGATTTCTAATCTTCATTGTTTTCCAAAGGTCTTACCTCCAAACCCATGTGAGTTTGGAGATTAAGCTTTTAGCCCTTGTGTTTGCAGGGAATGAGGTCAAGCTATTAGTGTGGGCATCCTGTTTGCAGCTCTTCTTTCACAGATCTCAGTGTTTTTCACTATAGCCTTATTTATTGCTGTGATTTCTCCCTCTCCCTCTATTTCTTAGCTCCTCTCCCCTTTATGTTCCCAAAAGATTTACTACATATGCATTTTACTTAGAAGGCCCAAACTCAACTAAAAATAGAATAATGCCATATTTTAGCTAGGTATTATTAAATTATGCAAGAATAAAACACACAAAAAATTAAAAATTAAAAGAAACCTACTAGAGAACTTGGAAGAAATGCCTTTTTAATTGGTATAAACATTATGTTATTACATTTGGAAAGCAATAATTCCAGTTTTTCTAGAAGGACTTGGCATCTCTAAAAATAGTTACATGAACTTGATAAAGAAGATACATATTTTCTCCTTTCAGATCTTATGAGTTGTTATGATTAGTAAGGCCAAGTTTGAACAGAAAGAACTATAATAAAACGTTCTTTGGCTATTAAAATAATTCTCCCAAAGCCTGCATTAAAGCTTTACAGATTTCAGGGAGGTTATAGCCTCTGAAACTGTGCCAGAGGCACACATAGTTGTGACTGATGTGTTCCTGTGAAACACTTTTAGATGAAAATAATAAACTTTGGGTGTTAGAATACTTAATCTATTGGGTGTCAGTGTCTTCTGCCTGTTTGTCTTCCTAAGCTTTTGGTTTGAGACCTAACTATGATGATCCTATTCCATTCTTTGAAGCTCAACTCCTGTAAACAGAAAGAAGAAATTATTACAGAGGATATTTGGCTTTGAATTAATTGAATGTCTAATTTCCAGTAGCGCTGAACTTGGCTGGATACCCATGTGGTTATAATATGCAAAGCCTCTGAAAAACATGGGCTCTCAAACAATGGCATGCTTTTCCCCCTGATTCTTTTTTCAAATGGTATTATTGTTCTTTCCCTTACTGTCTACTTCAAACAAATTTTATACAGTTTCATAATTCTTTTAACATATGGCTACTGCCTATCAGTTCCTTGTGTGCCTTGGCAAACAGCCATATGCACAAATGAAGAATGATTTCCTGGATGAGTTTTCAAGAATCTTCCTGCATCCATTTTACTACCTGAGTTCAACTTCTTGACATAGAGTTAGATTAGACAGTCCTCTCTAGTAGCCCCTTCTGTCTCCCTCCTTCCCACCTTTTCCTGCTTTGTTAGTATAGTCTTTTTTTAACCCAAGAAGAGCAATTTATGTTGTCAATGTAATTAGAGGCTGTTGTCAACATTGAGAGTGTAAAACTTGTGTGAACAATCCCAAGCGCTTCTAACATTGACATCTATGGAGTCCTTATGTGTTATTTTTGAAATATGAGTAGGGATCCCGCCTTTAAAATTTTGTACTTCTGCTTGTACAAAAATCCTTAGAGCAGAAAATGTGTTGGCTTTGTAAGCCTTATCCCTCCTATTGAGAGCTTGTGTGGATTTCGGCTTTGGAAAAATACATTGTACTTAACATTGAGATGTGGTCCAGGCATAGTTACTTGATACAGAGAAGAAAATTTGGAAGGAACAGATGCTTTGAAACAAAGACAAGGTTAGAGACAGCAAGAAGTATTTTCTTAAGATATCAGCAGCCAAAGAAGCAGGTACCAGGGCCAGCCTCCTCTAGGCTGAGGACCCTAACCTTTCACATCCTAGATTCTTTCCCTATTTCCAATCATTTGCTCACAGATAGCCAGGAAGAGGTTGCTTCATCTCAGGGAAGTGATGCTGGAAAGTCGGGAGGAAGCTGGCTCAGAATATCAAGAGAAGCATTAAAAGAATAGAACCACCTCCTTGTGATTATTTCTTTTGCTGCTCAGAGGTCTTTTGTGGTTCTCTTTGTGTACTTGGCATCTGCACAGGGATTTTTAACACACTTGCCGTTTCTGTCATTTGATCAGTTGGTTGAGTTTATTTATCTCAGCTTGGGATTCTTTTTTATTGCCACTCTAGTGATGGTCTACTTATTTGTGTTCTGAACCTATTTCCAATCCATAGAGCATTAGTCTACTGTAGTCCAGAGTGTGGGAAAGAGAGAACTTTTGATTAGCATATAAATATCTTGCAATAGAAAAAATTTGTAGGAATCAAATATACTTTCAATGTATGATGATTTTACATACATGTATGAAAATAGATGTGTATATGTAGGCATAAATGTATTTATCCACACGTGTCCACACATATGTGTAGTGTATACACACATAAGCACAATGTATATTATGTTATTTAAATGGAACCAGGATATCCATTACAGATCTTATTTTTTGTGGAAATAAATGTAACATCTCAGTGTATTTATGTTGTAGTGGGAGTCTTTAAATACCAAATCTTACTGCTAATAAACTGGAGTAAAGTACCAGCTTAATGGAAAAAGAAATGTTTATTTGCTATTTATGTGTTGGGCTGTCAATGGGAAAAGTATGCAACTACAGAGAATTTCCACATTAGTTAGAAATTGTGAACATCAGCAAAGGCTCAGTGTTCTTTCTGTACAATGTTAAAAATGTCTTGACCCAAACTCTCTTCCTAGGCCTGGAAATTTCTTTCACAGACATTCAGCTCTGAGGAAGATACAGTCAGGTGAACAGCCAGAGGACTCAATGAGGCTTAATCTACTCCATGCAGACAGGCTTCAGCATCTATGGGGAGCTCGGTGGGACTTAGGGGGATGTCTTTGACTGCTGGTGCAGGCTGGTCCCTAGGCTCACAGCCAGGCACCACAGCGGGATTTCCCTCACTCTCTGGTGATGGTGGAGGAGCATATTTTGCCTCCGCTATGGCTAGGGAGCCCCGGGCTGGGCACAGTGGAGCCACACCAGAAGCTTTTGACTCTGGCTCCTGGGGCTTCAAGTCAGGGGGGTTCCCATCAGAGAGGCCCTGGCTCTGGAGCTCTGCCCCTGCAGGGGTACCGCTGCCTGTGGGGGCAGCGGCGGCCTCACAGACCCCTTCGGCCCCAGCCTGAGAACCCAGAGGAGGCTGAGGACTCCCTGAAGCAGTAGGAGGGTTCAGATGGGTCGCATGGGCTAGTTCGGACTGCTGGGCGGTGATGTCTCTTATGCTCTGAGGACAATTCACTGCCTTTAGTCTTTCCTCTGATTGGTCTGGGGTGGACTCTGGGTGATGACGAATGGTAAAAGCTGTGGCCAGATTTTCCACAGCGTTTTGAACACTATTAACTTCCTCTGTATCCATTTCTTTATCTTCAGAGACATTTGACTCTGGCTCTTCATCAGAGGTGTGCCGATCCTGCTCTTCCTTTTCGGACATTTTTGCTTCTCTGATTTTTTTGTAGAGTTCCTTTCTCTCTTCTTGTAAAGCACGACACAGGTTCTCCAGCCTTTGAATTTTCATCACAAAACACTCGTATTCCTTAGCTCTCAGGGCTTTCTGTGACATAAACACACACACAAACAACATGAGCAGTGACTTTTCCAGTATGCTGTCCAGAGAAAAAAAAATCATTCATCCCAGAATTTGTCCCCTACGTTTGAACAAACATTGGGGGACATCACTTTTTCCATTGTTTTGGGTTTTTTGATTTTTGTTTTGTTTTGTTTTTGCGCTGATTGTTAGGCTGACAGAATTTTAATCATTATTGCCTGTTCTTTGGGAAAGAAACCCCATAAGCCTTCTTTCCACTTCAGTGAAGAGCCTCTCAAATCTTAACCTACATGAATCCTCTGTTTCTAAGAAATGGAGAGGATAAACAAGAGCTTCAGTGAAGATGGACAGAGACTTCACCCTCGGCAGTCCTTTATGTATTCTAGGGAATATAGCTTCTTGATAAAACTGCTATATGCTAAGCTCAGCAGCCGTTTGGTTCGTGTTGATGAGTTTTGAACACGTCTTGGAAATTGGTTGCAACTTGGGATGAAAGTGGTAATTATAACCAGAGAACTCACCACATGCTAATTCACGAAGCTGGCTACTTAAACTGTTCAATTCTTCTTTTCTCTGGTAATAGTGGTGCGAGTCTGAGTACGGACCTGCTCCTAATTGTCTCACTTCTTCCTCCTACTCTAGCTACTTCGTACCTATAAGATCCTTTTTACTTGTTAACATGAAGGGCTATAACCTGCCACTCAAGTCAGAGCTTATGTGCCTCTGCCTTTAGAGTTGCAAAACTTGCAGTCCTGTAATCCACTGGGAATCCAGTACCCACTGGGAACGTTTAAGATTTCTTCATATCTGTCTAGAAAATAGTCTATATGTGGGCTGCCGGGGCTGGTGTCTTCTGTCACCACGGTCACACCCATGTATTAATTGTACTTGCTGGTTGCTAAGCAGTAGAAATTCCAGGTCAAGTGAGACCTTTATCAAAACCTTTACAGTGGGCATAGTGCCACTCTGGGGACAGTGTTCTACTCAATAATCCTATCACTAAGCTTTACAAAGATCTGTGACTTTTCCTTAGATTTTTATATGACTTTTGATCTTATTACTTTTACTAGATTTTGACATGTCACATCTCCCTTGAAATTCAGCCTGTTTTCAAACATAATCATATTGATTAATTTCAAACATAAAATTTGATTATTTTGACAAGATTGGGAAAAAGGAGATAAAAGCCAAACAAAGAACTTCCTCACCTCTTCTATCATGTCCAAGAGAGCTTTGTTACAATTCTCAAATCGTGCTTTCCATGTGGCTGTATCCTTCTCCAGCTTCTTCATTTTCTTAGTTGTCTACAGAAATTAGAATGTTTTAGTGTTAATCCTGAAGCATTAATGTATCAAAGAAGCAATTAGTTCAATATGTGACACCAAGGGCAATCCTTTTGTTACCAGCTGTTGAAGCAAACAAATGCTCAATGTCAGCAGTGAAGATTGCAGAAGAGGAATGATTTATTTCTGAGTCCTGTAGATCAGTAATGAACAAACTTATTTGCATCAGAGCCAATTCAGGAGGAAGGAAACTACTTAGGAGTGGATTGTGTTGTTGTTGACTTTTCTTTTATTTAAAATAAAAAAAAAATTCTTACTGAGACCCACAAAAAAGCTTGCAATTTAGATCATTTCCTTTATCGAGTAGAAGGCTATCATGGTGAGATATCTAGCATTGCTTTTAGGCATTAAACTGTAGATAATAATTTTTGTACATACAAAAGCTACTTGCTACTTTCTTTTTATGTATGTTTATATGGTGAAGGTAAGTTCAGAGAATTTCTATGTGAGTTTTAGCCTGGCTTGGAACGCACAGAGGCCTGCCTACCTCGGCCTCCGGAGTGCTGGGATTTAAGGTATGTACTTTTCTGCTTGGCTATGTGCTTTCTTCTCCAGCAGAGCTGTCTGTGGCACCCACTGAGCCCAGCCTATCAGCTCTTGCTCAGAAAGAAGCTAGATAGGCCTTGAGTGGATGTTTTTGGGCGGGATTGCATGTTAGCCAAATTAGATATTTGTAGAGTTTAAGAGGTTAACTTTAAAGACTTGATATATTCAAATCATTAACTCTGGGTATATTCAGAGTTAATAGAAACATGCATGCCAGGTTTTTGTTGTTGTTTATTGTCAGGAAATTCTTGAGTTAGCTAATATCCATAAATGAATTTCACATTAAGAACACTTGATTTAATATCCCAGTCTCAAAATATGCAATTTTGAAATAAAATTTAAATCTTTTAACTCTATAGCTATTTACTTATGCCTCTTCAGAACCAAGAAAACTAACTTAACAAATACTGTGTAAAAGTTACATTATCTCACCAAAACATATTTTGACAGATGTTTCCTACACTTATAACTAATACCAGTGCCTGTTCAGAAACATGATTTGTGTGTGTGTGTGCATGTGTGTGTGTGTGCGTGAATGTACATGTGAACACGCCATGCTATGCTGTACTCGTGAAAGTCAGAGGACAACCTTGAGGGATCAGTTATCTTTAGCCATCTTGTTTTGAGGCAGCATCTCTCTTGGCCTGTCACTGTCCTTCCTGTGCTGGGCCAGCTGGCCCATGAGCTTCCAGACTATCGTGCTGGCTCTGCTTTCCATGTTGCCAGAACAGTACTAAAATCTCATATGTTCCCCACCTCATCCAGCTTTTCACATGGCTCCAGGGATCTAAACTTGGGTCCTCAGGCTTGCATGGCAAATGCGTTCACACTCTACCCACAGAGACAGAATGTTGGTACTGAGTTTCTATTAGGAAGATACTGAACTGGATAAAATATTAATGCTATGTCCATTGGTAATATTTTACCTTTTATTTGTAAAAGCTTCTCAAAACCTTTAATGCATTAATTTATTTGAGCTTTACAGTTTTGTAAGTTATGCAAATAAATCAGTTTATAGATTAAAAAACTCAAGAGAGGTAAATAAATGGTCCAACAGTACTTGGAGGTTAGTTGCAAATGGAGAATTTGAACTTACTCTTCCATCTTTTTATTCAGGGCTCCATCAATTATATTACAATTATGAGAAGGAGTCTATCAACTTTAATGTTGTATTTTTAGGTATTTAAACTTTTTAACCATTAGAAGGCCAGAGTTTTAAAATTATTGCTAGCTTCTTTCAAAGGTAGCTACCAAGAAGGAAAATATCATTTGTCCTAGTGAAAATGTATCCTAGTATTTTAGGACTATTGATCAGATTCATTTATTAATTTTTTTAAAAAACACAAAGACCCTACTGAAAGTCTCATTCCTGCCTATAAAAATTGCGTTGCGGTTCCATTGATCCTCCTTTCTGTTTTTATGCCAATACCATGCAGATTTTATTACTATTGCTTTGTAGTACAACTTGAGATCGGGGATGGAGATACCTCCAGATGATCTGTTGTTGTACAGGATTGTTTTGGATATTCTGGGTTTTTTGTTTCTCCATATGAAGCTGAGAATCTTTTTTTCAAGGTCCGTAAAGAATTGAGTTGGTATTTTGATGGGAATTGCATTGAATCTGTAGATTGCTTTTGGCAGGATGGCCATTTTCACAATGTTAATCCTACCAATCCATGAGCATGGGAGATCTTTCCATCTTCTGAGATCTTCTTCAATTTCTTTCTTCAGAGACTTGAAGTTTTTCTCAAACAGGTCTTTCACTTGCTTGGTTAGTGTCACCCCAAGGTACTTTATGTGGTTAGTGGCTATAGTGAAGGGTGTTGTTTCCCTAATTTCTTTCTCGGCCCTTTTGTCTTTGGTATACAGGAGGGCTTCTGATTTTTTTGAGTTGATTTTGTATCCTGCCACTTTGCTGAAGGTGTTTATCAACTGGATGAGTTCTCTGGTTGAATTTTTGGGGTCGCTCATATATACTATCATATCATCTGCGAAAAGTGACACTTTGACCTCTTCCTTTCCGATTTGTATCCCCTTGATTTCCTTTAGTTGTCTTATTGCTCTGGCTAGGACTTCAAGTACTATGTTGAAGAGGTAGGGAGAGATTGGGCAGCCTTGTCTTGTCCCTGATTTCAGTGGGATTGATTTAAGTTTCTCTCCATTGAGTTTGATGTTGGCTATAGGCTTGCTGTATATTGCTTTTACTATGTTTAGATATGTGCCTTGTATTCCTGATCTCTCCAAGACTTTAAACATGAATGGGTGTTGGACTTTGTCAAATGCTTTTTCGGCATCTAAGGAGATGATCATGTGGTTTTTCTCCTTCAGTTTGTTTATAAAAACAGAAAGGAGGATCAATGGAACCGCATAGAAGATCCAGAAATAAACCCACACACCTATGAATACTCGATATTTGACAAAGAAGCCAAAACCATTCAATGGAAAAAAGACAGCATCTTCAACAAATTGTGTTGGTCCAACTGGATGTCCACATGCAGAAAAATGAAAATAGATCTATATTTATCACCCTGCACAAAACTAAAGTCCAAGTGGATCAAAGACCTCAACATAAAACCAGGTACTCTAAATCTGTTAGAAGAAAAAGTGGGGAACAGCCTAGAACTCCTTGGCACAGGAGACAACTTCCTGAACAGAACACCAACAGCACAGGCTCTAAGAGCAACAATCAATAAATGGGACCTCATGAAACTGAACAGCTTCTGTAAAGCAAAGGACACTGTCATCAAAACAAAACGCCTGTCTACAGATTGGGAAAGAATCTTCACTAACCCTTTATCTGACAGAGGACTAATATCGAGTATATACAAAGAACTAAAGAAGCTGAAAAGCAGCAAACCAAGTAATCCAATTAAAAAATGGGGAACAGAGCTAAACAGAGAATTCTCTGTAGAGGAATATCGAATGGCAGAGAAACACTTAAAGAAATGCTCATCCTCATTAGCCATCAGGGAAATGCAAATCAAAACGACCATGAGATATCATCTTACACCCATCAGAATGGCCAAAATGAAAAACTCAAGGGACAACACATGCTGGAGAGGATGTGGAGAAAGGGGAACCCTCCTCCACTGCTGGTGGGAATGTAAACTGGTACAACCACTCTGGAAATCTATCTGGCGCTTTCTAAGACAATTAGGAATAGTGCTTCCTCAAGACCCAGCTATACCACTGCTAGGTATATACCCAAATTTTGCTCAAGTACACAAAAGAGATATTTGCTCAACCATGTTTATAGCAGCTTTATTTGTAATAGCCAGAACCTGGAAACAACTCAGATGTCCATCAACGGAGGAATGGGTACAGAAATTGTGGTATTTTTACACAATGGAATACTACTCAGCAATCAAAAAGGAGGAAATCATGAAATTTGCAGGCAAATGGTGGGATCTAGAAAAGATCATCCTGAGTGAAATATCCCAGAAGGAGAAAGACAAACACGGTATATACTCACTTATATAGACCTATAAGATGTGATAAACATAATGAAATCTGTACACTTAAAAAAGATAATCAAGAGAGTGGACATGGGGTAAGATGATCAATCCTCGTTTAGAATGACAGATGGGATGTGCATTGAACGTATGACAGGAGTCTACTGAGCGCATTGGAAAGACTCTAACTAGCAGTGTTTTCAAAGCAAAGACTCATGACCAAACCTTTGGCAGAGTACAGGAAATCATAAGAAAGAAGGGGAGTTAGTCTGATGAGGTAAGGATAGGAGCTCCACAAGGACCAAAGATATCTGGGCACAGGGTCTTTTCTGAGACTGACATGCAACCAAGGACCATGTATGAATGTAACCTAGAACCTCTGCTCAGATGTAGCCTGTAGTAGCTCAGTAACCAATTGGTTTCCCATAGTGAGGGGAACAAGGACTATTTCTAACAGGAACTCAATGACTGGCTCTTTGGCCTCCTCACCCCCCAAGGGAGGAACAGTCCTGTTAGGCCACAGAGGAGAGCGTTGCAGTCAGTTCTGAAGATACCTGATAAAACAGGATCAGATGAATGGGGAGGAGGTCCCCCCTGTCAGTGGACTTGGCAAGGGGCACGGTGGAGAAGAGGGAGGGAGGGAGGGACTGGGAGAAAATGAGGGATCGGGACACGGCTGGGGTACAGAGTTAATAAAATGTAACTGATAAGAAAAAAATAAAATACAAAAAAAATACTGCGTTGCATCATTAAATACACTGAAGTTTCTTAGCCAGAGAAAAATGAATTCAAAGAACTACTTACCAAAACAAAAAAGTCAATATTCATGGGTATGTGATACTCACTTTATCCATTTCCTGCTTGAAAGTGGCAAACACTTCATTGCTTTTTGTCAGTGTACTCTGGAACTCCTCAAACCTTCCTGAGTAGAGAGTGAGCTGTAAACAGAGGAAAAAGTACATCTATTTTAGGGCTGCTTTCAGAGTGCTTCCAGAAAAAAAGCCAGCATGTCATTGTTCATTATTTGAGGAGAAAAATTATTTAAAGATATTTTGAGTACAGGGTTAGTCATGTTTTGTCAGTTTATGTACTACAAGGTCAACCTAGGTTGGTGAACATGATTAAAATTCTTCATTTACAAGTTGTGTCTGTCTGTCTGTCGTCTGTGTGTCTTTAGACTTCTTCTTCTATAGCTCTCTACCTTACCATTCGAAAGAAGGTCTCTCCTCAGTGAATGTAGAGCTTGACATTTCAGCTGCACTGGCTGGCAAGTAAGGCCCAGGGATCTTCCTGTCTCCTTCTAGCCCTTAGTGCTGTAGCTACCGGCACGTATTACCATACTTGTCTTTTACAATGGATGCTAGGGATTCAAACTCAGGTCGTTATACTTTTATGGCATCTTTGCAGCCCTGATGTGTCTCTTTTCTTTCTTTCTTTCCTTTTCTTTGAGAATTTTATACACGTATATAATGTATTCTGATCAAATCTGCTGCCATTCCCTCCACACCAGTTTCTCCCTTATCCCCCTCCACAACTTTTTTCTTTCAACTTCTTGTTCTCTATAATCTTTTAAAAACCTATTGAGTGCCAGGCACGGTGACATACACCTATAGTCCTAGCTACAAGGAGGCTGAAACAGTCTGATCATTTGAGTCCAGGAGTTCTGGGCTGTAGTGCACTCTGCAGATTGGATGTCTGCACCAAAAATCTATTGAGTTCACTTAGTGTTTCCTAAAATGTTTTTTAAAGAAAAATAAAATGATAAAATATATTACAGCTTTATTGTGTCATAAGTTTTACAAATGTTTATTGGTCTCTGAACATATGCATGCACCAAATATGTACATATATTTATTTAACACATGGGTCCTATTTTGAGGGACTTGCACTCCTAATGGAAAGACAGATGCAATGACAACCTGACTGGGATGACCAACACAAATGAACAAGTCAGCACCCTGTTTGCCTTGGCATTGCCCTGTACTCAGACTTTTACGACCTAAGCTAATAGCTGTAATCTCAAGTTCTGTTGATCACCACATACTAACTATATTTTAAAATATTTGTTTTACTATTGTGTCTAAGTGTTTTGGTTTGAATACATCACTAATAAACTGAGTCAATAATAATGCTGCACTAGTGTCCCAGGAAGTAAAGAAATCAAAGTACTTCCTCTGCTATTGTTTAACCAAGAGTGATCACGGGTTTTAATTCTCTGCTTCACTTTCCCTGTGTCTTCTGTCATGGTTTGCCTGTTTGATGAGCCTGAATCTGTTGCCTGCCTGAAGACTGTCTTATGGCTCTATCCCTGTGTCTGTTTCTGCCCCTAATGAAGGACTTTTCTCTGTCTTTATTGAACAGCACAGAAAGCATCACATGGGGAAGAGTCTTACAAGTCACTGTCTCCAGATGACCCCAATTTACCCCTGACATACAAACAAACACTATCAAGCAAGATACAAATGTCCCTTTCAACATTTATGGGAGATATTCGTTTATAAGGTTAGTTTTGATCTCTATTTGCTGTTTTCAACAAATGGCTATCATAGCATGTACAAACACACATGCATTACTCTTGGGTCAGAGCCATGGAAGTGCATGTGCTTGTGCCATGGCCTGCTTGTGCCATGGCCTGCTTGTGCCATGGCGCACATGTGGTGGGCGCAACAACAACCCTCTCAGGAGCTGGTTCTCTCCTGCCACCTTGTGGAACAGTGTTATGGATCAAACTGGTTGTCCACGTGTGCCAAGAATTGGGTATTGCTTCATCATCTCTTATTTTTACTAGGTTATTACAACTGACCATTTTGCTTTGCTATGTTCAAAATTAAATTGTGTTAAAATACCCATAAAACTAAGCCCCCTAACCATTTGAAGTATACAGATCAGTACTGTTGTGCTCAGAGTATTGTACAGCCAATCTCTAGAATATTTTCATGTTGTCAGATGTAAACACCATACACAGAAAACAACCCCACAGACAGCAAAACAACCTCTCAGGCCCTCCTTCAAGTGCTCAGGCTTTGGTATTCTCCTTTTTTTCCTATTGGACATAGGTGGTACAATTTGAGTGGCTTATCCCTCACGCTGTTGCACCAACATCATCTTATTCTAACTAAAATTTTATAGTCTTATCTTATTAGTAGATATTTATGCTGCAGCATTGGCCTCTGGTTGGCATTTTGACATAATGAGTATTTTGATTTGACAGGAGCTGTTTCCACTTTCACTTTGGGATTTCAGAGAAGCATGGAAAGGCCATCCAGAAGTCAATCATAGAGACAAAAATTGAAACAAACTATCCTATGGTTAAAAGTAATAAAAATTGCTACAATACATGCCCTTAAAGTGGGCCTAAAGGCTCCCTTTTCTCAGCTTTACATTTAATAATTTGTGTTTGGGGTTACATGCATGCCAGATGGATGTGTGGAGGACAGAGCATAGCTTCCCAGAGGATGCTGGTCAGTTCTACCTTCCATACAGGACCTGGGAGGCATTAGGCCTGGCAACAAGTGCCTGGACTCATAAAGCCATATCAAGCCGGTGCTCATGTATTTCTTTAACCGAACACAGAGTCCTAATTAGAGTAGGAAATGGAAGGAACTGTGTCTAGATATGGTCTGTGAATTGATGTGGAAGCAAGCCCTGTTTCCAGAGTCCCTGGAGAGGGCCCTCCCCTAGACTATGGATAAGGAAAGGGTATCTGAGTCTAAAGACTGTGATTATCCTTTTTCAACAATTTACTCCCTGATCTTTCCCCTTAAGTGGTATTTTGTGTCTATGCTGTCAGATTCTGCTGACATTCCACGTTTGCTACTGTCTTCATTCTTACTGATCTGATGGCACTTCATTAGTCATGACAGTTGAATCCCACTGATCATCCATGACAGCTGTTCTATTGCCTTGGTTTAGATAACTGAAACACGTTCCCAACTCATCAGTGTTGTCTTATGACTGAAATTGACTTCAGTCTAGGACAGTGGTTCTTAACCTACGGTTGTGACTTTTGAGGGTGGCATCTCAGATATTTACATTGTGATTCACAACAGTAGCAAAAGTACAGTTATGAAGCAGTAGTGAAATAATTTTATGGGGAGGTCCAACCATAGCTAACAGGTCCACAGCGTGAGAAACTAATAAAGGGCTGCAGTATTCGGAAGATTAAGAACCACTGCTCTAGGAAAGCATGCAAACTGCCCTTGGTATTTTTCTTGCTCAGATCTTAGAAATGACCATTGAGTAAGTCCTTGACTTCCTGCTGTTCCTATTTCTTTAAGGACACTTAGAAACAAGGGAACTCTCTGAGTAGAATTCAGTTTTCAAGTTTCTGTAAACTGGACAGGGTCACGCAGCACCTCTGTGTAAGGAGCCAGTACTCTGATCTTAATATCTGGACTCATTCCAGAAGAGTGGGTGAGTGGGGAATCAGGGCCACCTGGTAGATGCTTCTCCAGTTTTAATGGGTATAACTGAGAAATTGGATCACATCTTTATATTTCTATTTCCCATACCACAAAGCTCCTAGAATCTTGGTTCCATGAGATGGTTCAGTCAGTAAAATGCTTGCTATGCCAGCATGAGGATCTTACTTAGATCCACAGCACTCAAATTAACAGAGCCAGGCATAGTCGTGTGCTTCTGTGGTCTAAGCACTAAAGGAGTGGACACAGGAGGATTATAATTGAGGCTTGCTGGCCAGCTAGTCTGGCCAGATTGCTGATCTCCAGGCTTGTTTGGAGATGTGTCTCAAAAAAAAAAAGGTGGATAAGGAGTGAGGAATTGACTTCATGCTGACTTTTGGCCTCCACGTGCACATGAGCAACTATACACACTTAAACAGACGTGGACATGAACATACCACACAGTCACCCTGGATTCTGATGGAAGCTGACTAAGTCTTTCTCTAGGCTAGAATCTAATATTAACCTATTCTTTTCAATGTCACTCCCCTCTTTTAGCTAAGTCATTTCCTGTAGTAGACACCAAGAACAAGGCCTAGGGTCAAGCAGTGTCCCCTTTTTCTCTTAAGCTCTATGCTGTTAGCGAACAGAGAAGGACCAGAGCTCTGGCTTGATTCCCGGGACTTTCTCTAACCTAGACAGTGACGTCACGGCTCTTCCCCACTGTCCACAGGTTAGAGACCCACCACCGCATGCTGCCTCTGATACTACAATACAATAGGTTCTACAGCTGACTCAAAGCGTGCTCCTGAGTTTGTAGCTCCAAATCCTGTGATTTTGTGAAAATCTAGAGACATTATGTTTCAAACCTCTATATAATTAATTTGAAAACTTTTCTTGAATGTTATCAAATCGATTATACTGGGAAAAACAATTTTCCACTGCATTGTTTGTATACATTGCATAAATATGCTTTAGGAAGGCTGTCTGTGACAATGTCACCCGTATGTGTGTTTGCTGTAATTGATATTTTAATTTATTCTTGATGAATTCTATAGTGAAAAAAGTACTTATTGGAATGCTCTTTCACACAATAAGAATGTACCTTTTAAAAATAATAAATAAGATTTTTTTTTTTTTTAGTCAGCACATAAACATTTCCAGTCTTAATTCTGCCCCATGTGGAAGGCTTCTGATGTCCTCACCTTCTATCAATCACCTCTGTGAACTCATAATCCCTTTAGAGTTTAGGCATTTCTCCCAACAGTAGGCCCAAAGTTCCTCTCTGGCCTGTGACAAGGCATGTTTCCCATGAAGACCATAGTCTAATAGCCATAGAGAAGATAGATAGGCCTGGCTTTTGCAAGAAGCCAGCTGTGGCAGGAGGCTATGTTTTTGAGCCTGAAGTGGGACCTCTAGTAGTCTGATTTAAAAAACAAAAAATGCCAGTGACACATGAAGTCATATCAGAAAGACTCCTGATTTTCCCAGCACTCCTAGCCATTCATTATTGACCAGGTAACTCTTGGTCAATATTTTGGTCTCCATTTTTTTCCTCACTATCTTTATATTATAGACAGTATCAAAATGTAAAGACTGTTTAGGATTGACAGTTATACATGGTGTTTCTGAGCAGTTTTACATTCCTTCTCACCTTAGTTGGGCAATGGATCAGGTGACACAGAAGAAACATGATAGAGAAGCGGGAAGCCAGAAATCAGCTTGCTGTGGCCGACCACTTTAATGGCATCATTTGTCTGCAGACCTCTTGGCTACATAATGTTGCTACACAGCATTTCTCTTGCATAGACATAATACTCTACATTCTTAAATATAACAAACGTGATGTTCGCTTCTCATTCTCCATCCCCTAACACCTGTTAAGCTTTGTGCAGAGAATTTGGGGTCCCAGACCTTGGTACCGGAAGGGGGCTACCCTAACCCTCTATGTGTGGGTCTTCTCCCTTCACCTGAGCCTGCAGCACTGTCTCCTGTTCCTTCAGCACTTTGGCCTGAAGTTTCCATTCTGCTGCCTGGTTCAGCAACTAAGAGAAAAGAGAATGCATGTTTTTAAATTGCCATTTGTATAATATATATATATATATATATATATATATATATATATATATATATATATA